TTTGACCATATTTCAAAAGTTCTCTTTAAAGTTTTGGTGTTCAAAAGACTTGAATCTTGGACCACAAGGGAAGATAAGTAGCACCTAACCTCTAGAACCCAATAATTTATTGATATTCATTTGCAATAATATGTAAATGTACATTAATCATTTATTTTTAAAATATTTTAATAAAAATTACAGTCCTAATTCCCTGGAATTTGGGAGACGGATGAAAAATATTTTACCACACGTACACTACTCAAGTGCTAACCTCACCTACGCTTGTCCTTTTGTCAAATAAATTTCTATATATATAGCATAAAGTTCATCTTCGTCAATCTACCTCATTACACAATGCTAACATTGCCCATTTCACATCAAAGCACACCATTGTCACGCTTGAAACACCGCCACTAATGAATCGTCAAAAACTTTCTCCAAAAATCCTAAAAAGGAATTTCAACTGGACTACTCAATTGAGGGAAAAAAATCTTTATTCTTGAGATTTCTTGAATTTGGGATTTTGATCGGCACTATATGAGTTTCGTTCTGAGATCTCTTCAGTTTTTTCAATTGAATTGTGGGAGAGGGATGGTGGGGATAGATCCTTTAATAGTTCATACGTACATATCTCCATAGAATTTCATGGTTATGGATGCTTAGTTGTGTCCGGCCAACATAGGTTGAATGCTATTCATTTGAATGGTTGTGCAAACTGAAATTGACTTTTTTATTAATATGTTCAAAAAAATTTTAATTTTATTTCTTTAAACTTAGCCAAACACGGTCGACTTACATTTTGGAGAACCCCCTGCTAAGTAAATCAAAAATTAATTTTAAACAGTTTAAATTTTTCTTATATTTGGAGTTCTCTTATTAAAATCGAAATATTTGAGCGCATATCATAATGGTTTACTTGAACGGAACTCATACCTTAGCACCCAGTTTTTTATAAAAAAATTGAAGTTAAAAATCTACATGCATGACGAGTTGACGTTTGAAATAAGTTTTAAGGAAACTTTTTTATCAGCTTGAAATCAAAATAAATAAATTACTTATTAAATCAAATGGGACATATAAGTTCGTTTTATTATTCAAGTAATTGCGCTTCGCATATTAAGTAAAAGAGTATTTATCTGTAATATTAATGTTAATGTGTTCCATTCTAGGTTAAATAAATAAATAAATATGTATTGAAACATAAATAAGCTCTTTTTGTCTTTTGGTGGTTATTAAAAATC